TTCCCAATTTTGTTTTCACATTTGTCATATAATCGAATAACCCAAGAAAATATGCAAGAGATCGTAATCTATATCATTTTGTTATACAATATTCAACACTAAAATTTTAAAATCAAAGACAAAGAAGAAATTAGGAGAAAATCCCCTTTTCTTGAAAACTAGGGCTTTGAATATAAAAAAAAAATCAATAGAGCTTTGGTGGTTACCCACTCTTCATATTGTTCAAAACATGACATTTATTACAAATAGAACAAGAATCATGTATTTCATATTATATATATGAGAAGGAGAGTGAAGAAAAACATATATCTATATACATATATATATCTATAGATATATATCTAGCCTCAATGTGAGAGATTGAGAGAAAATCTCCTACCTCAAATCAAGATTCCAAGCTAAGACCCAAGCTTCAAGACCTTCTTGCTCTCCTTTCTTTTCCTCTTAATCTCCTCCTCCTAGGGTTTCAAAAGATTTGGGTGAGAGGGTAGCAAGAATGGAAGAAATGGGAGGAGAATGTATTCTTGAAGAATTTGAAGTTTTGATTTCTACAAGGTATAAATCCTTCTTGATTGGTATTTCTATCTTCCTCTCTTCCTCTAAAATGGTTCCTAGGGTTTGGAGGGGTGAAATGAATGCTAAAGGGACGACATTAGGTTTTTATAGGGCAAGAAAATCGAGCAAAACCCGATATTTTCTGTTCAGAAAAAATCGGGTTTCCTTCGTACTGTTCACAGATTTTTGGTGCGACTTCCAGGTCAGTTTTGACCCATTTAGAGGTCAAATTGAAAATTTTTCATGAAATACACTTTTGTAGCCCTAGAGGTCTACTATTTCCTATCAAAATTTCAGATCAATTGGACATCAAAATATAAAGTTATGATCAAAATACTAAACAGTGTCTATCACCCCTTTTTACCCAATTTCACTGCAATTTGGTTTTACTTCTAAAATACTTCCTAACTTCTAATACATCCCATATTACCTCTCCCAATGTTTTCTGACCTCCCGAATTCAATGGTAATGTTCTTTTGATAAAAAAAAAATTAATATATTTATTTAGTTACCCTTATCAATCTTAAACACATCCAAAAAAAAAAAAATTAAGTTTGACCCAAAAGTCAATCCGTTCGAAACTCAAACTTCATGATTAATATTTCAACAATGATTCTAAGTTTTTATCCTCATTTTATTCATATTTAGAAAACTCTTAAGATATTAGTATTCTTATTTAATTTTAGTACAGGGTCTTACAATTTTTACCTTACAAAATTCATCATTGCTGACAACGTAGCTAGTAGATAATCATTCGAGGTGGACAATGTGCATACTAATTTCTATGAGAAATGTCCTTATTCATAACTGTTTGGGACCCCGAACAACTAATGCTTTCTCCTCGGCCTGCCGAGCGTTTAATGACCTTTTCTCGGCAGGGAGGTATTAAATGTCCAGGCATAGAAACATTCATTACCTTTCGCTTCTAGGCTCTTATGCATTAAACGCTGTCTCATCAAGAGAAGGATGCATTAAATGTCTGTTCTTCCAAGTCGTGTGTCAGCGAGGGCATTCTGGTTTTTTTGTCTCTGATCTGACACAATATGCCACGTGCTCATCCCCCTTTGGTTGAGCTTTCTGCTTTCTTGTGCCTGTTGACACCATTTGAGTAAGACGAGATCATAATGGTTAGTCTAGCCTAGCCTAGGCTAGTGATCTGTCCATCAATAGCCCTTATAGGAACATAAACGTCCATGTAGACAGACACACCTCAGTGCCAAGGGACTAGAATGACTAGGACCGATATACCCAAATTGCCGAGGAATACGTGTCGGTTCAGGGCGTGTTAGGGATCCTTGGTCCCTGTGAATAGTATCCTCGGGGCAGGGGGTTATAAACCGACAAAGACATGTCGGGATCACAGCGGAGAGTCTCTATTGATGCCGAATACACGTGTCGTCATCTGGGAGTGTTTAGAAATGTCCCATCAATTTCAATTCTTTTTTAAAGAGTTTAAGTAATAAACAAATAGACCCGCATGTTACATCGATTGTGTTCAATTAAAGTATATCAACTGGTTTATCCATTTAAATTTATATAGGCGTATATAAAAATTGATCTAAAATCTATTCAATTTTAGTTTTTTAAGTACATATTTGTCCTAGCCCCTCGCACTCCCATGATCTCCATTTCCATTATCCCTAGCCTTGACTGACTCTCTCTCTCTCTCTCTCATTTTTGTCGCTATAGTGCATGGATGATGCACGGGAGGTCTCTGATGGTTAAGTTAGTCGGTATTTAATTATGAAAGTGTGTATAATGCAAAGCTATTCTTGCTTTCGTGCTTCAATTTTGTTTAAATGGTATATTTATACCTTGGATTACAATGATGTCTTTCTTAGTGTTTTGAAAACTCGCCTAGGCGAGAAGTGAGGCGAGACGAGGTCTTGTCGCCTTGAACGTCCTAGACGAAACAAATGCGATTGAAGCGAGAAAAAAATGAGAAAATCGAGTGCCTTGAGATCAAGCGATTGGTGAAAAAGCGAGCGCCTTACTTATGCGAGGCGAGGTTGTGTTTTATTTTTATTGTACATCGTTGGATTGTTTTTATTTTATTATGGACCGTTGAATTGGGGTAATTGAAAAAAAAATTATAAGATGCCCATACATCCAATTACCCCTTATCCCATAAATATAAAACTCAAACCCTAATTTTGTTCAGGATCAGACGATCGACTGCTGTTGCTTCTTCCTCTCTGGTCAGAGACAATCAACTGCTGCTACTCCTTCCTCTCTGGTCAGAGATGATCGATTGCTGGTTATTGCTCCTCCTTCCTCGCTAGTCACATGTTTGTCTCCTTTTTTTCTTCTCTTTTCTATTTCTCTTCTTCTTCTTTGGTTATTCTTCTTTTCTCTTTCTCTACTTCATTTCTGATTCTCTTCTCGCTTCTGATTTTGATTCTTCTTCTCTCTTATGTTTTCTATTTCTAATGTTGCTATTTTGTTTCCTTCTTTGGCTAATATCTGATAGTGTTGTAATTTTTTTTTTTTGCTTCTGATTTTGGTTTTTCTTCTCTTTTTTGTTTTATGTTTCTACTACTGCTTTTTTTCCCCTACTTCTGCTGATGTTTGATAGTGCTGTAATTTTTTTTTTTTGCTTTTGATTTTGATTCTGGTTCTTTTTCTCTCATATGTTTTATATTTCTACTGTTGCTGTTTTTTTTCCTGCTTCTATTGATGTCTGATAGTGCTGTAATTTTTTTTTTCTCTTTTTGCTTTTGCTTTTTTTTTCCTACTTCTATTTCTGCTTTTTGCTTTATGCTTCTTTAATGATGAATGTTAATGATTCTGATTATTTAATGTTGCTATTTCTTTAAGATTTGAGATATTATTAATGTTTGTTTTAATTTAAATATTTATGATTTTACTTGCATTTAAATATTTAGTATATATAAAATTAGAACTTAGATGTTTAGAAGTAATTAAACTAAAATATTTTTTTTTAACTGGTCGCTTTGCTTTGGTAAAATGTTTCGCTTCTCTTTTTGCCTAGGCTTTAGGAGCCTTGGTCACTTTGGTTCACTTTACGCCTTAAATAACATTGGTTTTTCCCATCTAGATTCCAATCTTAGACTTTAGTAGTCTATGCTCATCGCCTAACATAATAAGTGCTATTCTATCACACCTTATCAATGCTAGGTGATTGAATGCTTAGGTTTTCATGCTAGAATGGATCGTGCATTTATGACTCCATCCCGGCCATCAAGTGCTCTACATAAATGCCTGTAGCCTATTACTGAGCATTTATGGGCGAGAGCTAGGGCCTTCAAGGGATCCCCGAGGCTACCCCTTTAGTCATGATGGTCACGCCCCTTTAGCTTGATAGTTGTTCTCGAGTTCTACGTGGATTAGACAATCAATGATAACCTATCACATCACTACGTTGCTTGAGGCTCACACATTGATGTTATTTAATACTTGACATTGGCCATGCCTCTCGGCCCCCAAGCGCTCTAATCGCTTGGTCTCAGCTACCATGGGAATCCCATGCATTTCAACAGTCATGGGTAACCACGTGTCACTTTCTGGTTGGATGGCCACCAACATCCCGTCAAATGAGATAGTCCGCCATTACTCATTTTTTTCAAAGAAAAGTGATGTGAATTTTGTGATGATTAAAAGGAAGCAAAATATTTTTAAAAAACATCGAATTAGTTTGTTTTGGTTTTGTACTTTGTAATATGTTAGTTGTATTCACCACATTGTTTTGTTTTTAGGAAAAAAATGTTTGAATTTAGTGTGTACACAATTTTTTATGAGAAACTCGTCAAATGAGTTAAACAGGTTTGTAATTGTGGCAAATGGAATAGTAATCGTGTGAACTAAAAATTGATAAAAATGACCCATTTATTTGACAGGTTATACAGGTAGTATCAGGTAACTCACCAAATAAATAGGTCATATTCATTTTTTTTTTGGTGATATTCACACGTTTAATAAATAGTTTGTGTACAAATTGAGTGATTTTTGACAGGAATTTTTTTAACCTGATACAAACCCACTTAACGTGGCACGATAAAATCTTATGGTCCATAGTATTATATATTTTCTCATCAAATGAAACTCTATTATGAAAATATGAATAATTCCCAATTGCATACAATTTTACACCAGTTTAACAAAATTTGTGCTGGCCCGGAAGATATAACCCAGTCTTTGTGGGCTTTGTCCGTAAGACTTTTGAATGGTAGTGCCCAAGTTTTATGGTTTTGCCTTTTTTTTTTTTCTCAGGTTCTTGTCCAACAATTCATAGGCTTTTCTTCGTTAATCTACCTTCCACTTTGTTTCTATGGTTTTATTTGGTGAGCTGAAAACCTTATCTTATGTATACGTGGATAAGTTATTTCCGCAATGTGATTAATCACTAACATTTGAATGCATAATTGTACCGATCTTTCGGAATTGTAATTTTCAATATATGCATAATTAAATACATACAAATAAAACCCACCCCAAAATACAAAAGAATCAAGCTCTCTTTATTATAAGATTTGAGCAGCTCATTTTGCTAGCTCAAAATAAGTCTAGTTATCAGCGTTTGATCTCTTCTTCCGTTACTTCATTTCCCCATCTCTCCGGTGGATGCAAAACCTTTTCGTATTTACGTAAGAAGACTTAGGAAGAAATACTAACACTTGGGAAGGTCACTCGGGGGCGGTAGAAGAGATTCGTTGGGTCCTTTTCCATTGTCCACAACAAATGCCATCTTAAGTCCCCATGTTGTGTGCACTTCTAAATGGCAATGCATGAACCACACCCCTGCATACCCAAAGCAAAACCATACAAATAATTTCAGATCTGTAGACTTTGCCAAAAAAAAAAAAAACCCCAATGGTTTGAACGGGGTAGCTAATGAGCAATATCAGTGAAGAATGAGTCTTCTAGCTAGTTGCAACAAATTTCGGGCCAGACTGGGTTCTTTACAAACAAAGCCCGTCCCATGAAATTGTTGGGATGGTCCGGGTGTTTGGTATGGAATCAAGCGCTACAGTCCAGCCCATGGCCCATGACTGGATCGGTTGGCGGAAAGGGTGGGGGGAGGGCCAGCCCACAAATACTTTAAAAATATGACTCATATAACTTATGATTTTTTAATTTTTCCTTATTACTAATATAATTTATGAATCAAAACTTAAAGCCATAGCTAAAGAATTAATTTTTGAGGGGATAACCATTCTGGGCTGTGGCCAGAGTTTTTGGGCGGCGACAACTAACCCGATCCATGAATAGGTCCTATTTTCTGAAGTAGACCCAAACAGAATGTAAGGCTTAATTTACCTGGATTGTCTGCCCTGAATCTAATAGCAACCCACCCAGCAGATGGGACTCCAATTGTGTTCCTCTCAACAGGGTCAACAAGATTGAAATTCTTCGGGTCCTTCTTAGGATTAAAATTGCCCAGTCCTCTTCCAACAGCAAAGAAATTGAAGCCATGCAAATGGATTGGATGGTTCTCAGGAGTTATCATCCCAGTGTCTTGTAGGATTAATTGCACAGTAGAGTTGTAAGCAAGTCTATAAAGCCTTGTCCCTTTCATTGTCTGGAAGTTTGTTGGCTGTGTGCCTGTATAGTTATAAGGCATCAATGGATTGCCTGGAAAATCATCTGTGAACACGCCGCTGATTTTGGAGAAATGTGCTTGAAGAAGAGCCGTGGTTGGCATTACAAAAGTGACATTGTTCAAACCAGCCACCACCCGACTACCATTGACACAAGTACGACAAGGATTGACCCCGAGACTAATGGTGAAAAGAAGGGAATGGCCAATAGTTAATGGAACTTTGGCAGGATATTTTTTTGAATTTAGGCTTCTGAGGGAGTCCATAAATTTTGTTGCCACCGGGGTTGCGTTTTTGGGGGGCGGGGTGGTCAGCGTGGTGGAAGTGGTGGAGACGGTGCCAGAATAATGTAATGTGGCGGTGGCAGTCATGTTATCGACTGCAATCGGTGCGTCCATGAAGGGTGAGGCTGCAACCAAGTATTTGCCAGTGCCAAGATCAGCTGTTATAAGGACATTTGTAGTTTGGCCTGGTGCAACAAGAATGGTGTCGGTTTTAAAGGGTTTGACATAAGTGGCGTCTACCTCGACGACGGTGAGCTTATGACCGGCAATCTTAAAGAAAAGCTCTTCATTCAGTGCAGCGTTGATGATTCGTAGCATGTATGTCTTTCCAGGTTCTACTGGTAGATTGAAGCCCCCTGCACAGTATAGAAAGTGATGATTCAAGAGACTAACCTAAAAAAGACAGTCCAGTGTACGACTTCCTGCCACTACACGATCGGGAGAGGATGAGAAGCCTACGACAATTGTTTGCATATTTTTTTTTTTGATCTCTAGTCTAGTAAGTTCTTACCCTGTGATAAGCAGCTTGAGACAGGCCCTGGATGGCCATTGATGGTGTGAGCATCAGAAATATTTGGTGCCAAGCCTGATTTCACTGCTTGATTGATCACAGTTTCAACATCTGATTTCCACCATTCACCTATAAGTTGAATGATCAAATCAAAAGAAAAAAGATATCAGTACGCTCTGTATTCAACTTCAGTTGAATAATCACAAATATTTTGGGAAGGATGTCCAGCAAAATTTGGTACTAGGTTCAGATCGTCAGCACAACATCAATCTATGCATGGGGACAAAATTCAAATCCAAATTTTATTAGGCGATTGGGATTTTTTTTTTTTGAAGGACTGTTCATTTCCAAACCTATCTATCATATTTCATGGTGTCGGATTTTGATGTATTAATAACAAATTTGATTGTGATTCAATCTGAATTATAGGTGTGATATGATTAGGTTGGTTTACTATTTGGTGAATTACAACTAAAATTTGTAGGTGATTTGCTAAAAATAAACTCCACTCGAGTTATTTGGATCAGATCAAATTTTTCTTTCTTAATTGACTCAAATATGGAAATTGAAAATGAAACCCGTAAGATATTCCAATCTAATTCGTATCGAAGGTTTTAAGTTAGATTCAGTTATGTTGAAATTTGATTTAAATTCAATTCGTTGACAAAAATATGTGAGGAATACGAGATAAACTTTTAATAAATGCAAGTCTTTTAAATATGTTTTTACCAAATGATTTCAAAAACAAATATGCATTATAAAGAGAGAAGGAACAACAATTTGATTCTCACCTAGTATGACAACCTCTTCCTTGTGGGGTTTGGGGAATGGGTAAGGCACTCCAAGCTTGGGCAAAATAACAATAGCACCATGGACAGTGGCCCTTAGCCAGAGGATATGTGCATGCCAGAGAAGAGTGCCCCTTTGGCCAGTGATGGTGAAGTTGTACACATAGCTTTGCCCTGGTTGAATTGGGCACTGTGTTATGTATGCCGGTCCATCCGCCCACCCTGTCCGAAGTTGTCTAATCCCATGCCTGTCCACAATACAGTATAAAAAACTTCCAAAAAACAGAGTGATATTGCTGATTCACTTCACCTTAATTATGGGTGCAATTTGGGGGTTCAATTCGAACTGAACCCGAAATTTCAGTATTTAACCAAAAAATTTTAGTACTTGAATTTTGGTTGGTAAACAAAAAATCCAACACGATTCAAATTCATGTGACATTCAAGTTAGGGTATTCGGTTCTTGAGACCCATTCAGACGTGCTCTGAATTATTTTATTCAAGTTCAACCAAAATTCAATTTGAATCTTAGTCCGATTTACATAATTTGACAGTTGAACTTATATAAAACTCAATTTTAAGGGTTTTTCTCATTTTGTACTCCAAAAAATATTTCAATTCCCACTTTGCACCCTAAAATATTAGTTTTTCACATTGCACCCTAAATTTCATAAATTGGTTTCAAAATAGCCCTCAAACTAACATCCGTTTCAAATTCCTTTAAAAATTGATGCATATGCCACTCAAGTGTGTTGCTCTTTAGCAAAAATATAAACTCACAAGTCATATCTTTCTTGGGTGGTATGTGTATTAATTTTTAACAGAATCTGAAATAGATGTTAGTCCGAGGGTCACATTGGAATTAATTTATGACATTCAGGGTACATGTGAGAAAAATAATTTTTTAGGGTGCAAAGTGAGGATCGAAACATCTTTCAGGGTGCAAAGGGCAAAAAATCCCAATTTTAATACAAGTTTTTTTTTTTTTTCTTGCAATCACTTATCCAATACCTTTAATGCCCCCACTTGGGTTACAAGGTCATGCTACCAGGCCCGGCCAATTTTAATACAAGTTTAACCCAAATTTAGATTCACCAATTGAGATAGAGGATTAAATATGACTTTCTATTTGAATCTGACCCAATCTAAGCATAAGCAATACTTGAGAATTCGGGTTGAATTTGGTTTCAGGTCGAACTCAAGATGGAGATTTTTCTATTGGAGTTCAACCTCTAGTCTTGATGTATATTAGTTCTTGCGAAAGGGGCAAAAACTGAAAAGCCGCGGGAATGAGAGGGTGTTTGAGCAATTTTGGACTAACCAGTGGATGCTGACATTATATTTGACATGGTTGACGACCTTCACGAGCACGTTATCGTCTTCTCTTGCATATATAGTCGGTCCAGGGAAACGGCCGTTAACAGTAACTATGGGTTTACTCGAACATAGCCTTGTGGTGTTCCTCAAGACCACCTGCTCACATACCCATCACAAACCACTATTCAGTAATTAGTACAACACTTAGTAAACTATTTGTAAACTAACTCCACATACTTGTAATTATCCGCTAAACACAAGTATCAGTTAAATTTGGGAGTTACTAGCAATGACCATACTGCCATTACAGGTGTTATCATGATTTGTTGGGTAACCCTTAACTAACGCCAATATAATATAGACTCAACATATTTTTATACACGCCTATGCATGATGTGCAGTGGTCTTGGAGATCAATACTTTGGGTTGATGGGTGGTCAATTTTGCTAAGGCTCTCCACTAAAATATGCCAGCACTTTTCGTGCATAACAATACATCTTCCATCTGACGCATAAGAAATGCTTAATAATGTGCACTTAATTTTCTTTTCAAATGATTGAATTAGTATAACTCATTAACTTTGTCTAATAGAACACACTAAAACAGTCGTATACATTGATTTAGAATGCAAAATTTGAAGGGAAAAAAATGGTAAGTATAACACTTGAATTACAAGTATCAAAACCGGCACTATTAAATTACCAGTATTAGAACTGGCACCACAATAAAATTGGAAGAAGAAGCCGATGAGTATGCAATGGAACTGATCTTCACTATTAATATGCAACCTTAACTTAGGCTCTCGCGATTATAGCAAGCACATACCGTAGTTCAGGGTATTCTTCAGGCTCAGTTCAGTTCATTTGCATCCTTAAGTAAGAGAATATACGAATAAAATCTCTCTCTAATACATGGAGAATGACAAGGTTAGTGGTAGATCTAATAGTCATTGTTACCGCTGTTGAACCTTAAGATCGCAAGTTCAAATCTCATCCTTCCCTTTCTTTTAATATAATGCATGACCCAAAAAAAAAAAAAATCATGGGGAAGGACAACTAGTGTGACCTTGACCGATCAGAAGCCAGTATAAACGACGACAGACAAAGGTCACTCAGGTTCATTCTACCTCTCTTTTAGCACATATCAAAACCATGAAATTTGACGAGTGTAACTGTGAAAAATGAACTTACATTAAACTTGTAATGACGAATACTGCACTCCACCATTGCCGGCAACAAACAAGCCACTAGCATGAAGACCCGAATCCATGGCGCCATCTCTTTCTCTCTCTTTCAAACACCCCCCCCTTTGGTTGTACTTTGCCTGTGTACTTTTTCAAGTGTAACAGATGACCAACATGGCCTTATAAAATAGGGTCTCTGCTGCAAGGTCGTTTTAGTTTGTTAGGTGGTTAAAAGGAAGCTTGAGAGGCAAGATCTACATATAAAATCATGAAACTCATTTGGTATTAATATAAAATTTCTTGTAATCTACACAAAGTTATCTATCACCTAAGATACTTTTAGAAGCGAAGGTTCAATATTCTTTTATTTTTTAGGCAATTTACATATTAAACCTTTCAAGTATGACTCAAGTTTCTATTTCGTCCTTCTACTACCAAATCCAATGGTTATTACTAACAGTTATTGCCACACTAATATGATTTAAAGAAGAGAAGAGTAAAAGCGACCAAGACCTAGAAGAAGAAATGGAAATCGAGGATTGGAAATCACCTTCAGAAGAAGATGGGGTAATAACCATTGGGCATGGCAGTGTTTTGATAGAATAATCATAATCATAATCATAATCATAGGTCACGCATTGGTCATTTGGCTTTGTTATGTGGGATCTAGTTAATATATTTGGATGGAAGGGCCAAATTAAAACTCAATTAATACTTTAAGAACTTAATTGTTATAATTGAAACTTTAGTGTCAATTATAAACTTAAAAGGGTGCAAATTGTAAAATGGTCCAATTCTTCTAATTGGACTAGGTTGCTAGTCAGAAATGGGTTGGTCCAACCATAATGGTTTGATTACAACAAATCCTTAGCTAACATGACCAAAAACTGTACTTTTTTTCCCCAAAACAGAGGTCAAGCAAGATGACATGTTCAAGAAGTGCAACAGAACCACCTAATTTTCATGCATTTATTTTTCTATTGATAGTTTTAAAATTTCAGTTGCAGTTGGTGATAACAGAAGGCATTTGGTGTACTATAGATAGTAGATCAACATATCCACAGAATGATTAGAGTCACAAATCAGATCTTTCAACTGATTTTCTAATCTTGGTCTCTCCGGTTCCTATTGAATTTTATTTGGGGAAGGTGTCCTATAATCATAGTCTAATTTGGATGAGATCGAGAAAATTGTGTCAAGTTTTAACCCAGATAAAGACCCACGCACATGGATTCAATACCACATGGGTGCTTATATAGGAATCCAAGTCTTCCCCATTAGTTATGTTGCTATATGTTTATGTGTTATTTTTTTTTTCTGCTTGCGAAAATTGGTAGAGGGTGTTAGGAATTAACTTCTCTAATCTAGGATTCGGTATAACATAACAAGAAAACAAAGATAAAAAATAATTGAAGACAAAAGCACACATATTTATGTGAAAAACTTGAAGATCGGAAGAAATGACAGAATTACATCAAATTCACAATGAAATGAACAAAATATATAAAGAAACAGAGAAAAAACTGTCCTACGCGTTACAAAAGTTCTCGTTTCTCAACATGGTCTAAAGTTGGATTCACAACAAATTAAATTGGATGTTCAATATTATCAGATTCCATACTACCCGATAGAGCATTGTTGACAAATTAATAAACAACCATCTAAATCTCCAAAATTACTCAAAATTAGAGGAAGAAGAGCTCATCCTGGTTACAAGCACAATCAAATGCACACATAATGAACATCATACAAGTCCAGGAGGATTGGTGTAAGGTTATTATTAGTCCACTAAACAAGTAATCAGTACAAGTTAACTATAAAAAAATGAGGCTTAAACAAGGATAAACTGTTTTATTTTATTATTGTTGATCTGAGCTGGATATTGGTAGTCTGTCAAGTGTATCCTTCCAGAAGAGGATGCATATGAAGCTGCTGTGGGCCCCGGCACATGACGTAGTTGAGATGTTATGCCTGCACAAATTTTGCTGTTGAGATATGGCTTTCATGGATTCTAGAGGTTTTTTTTTTTTCACTGTATGAAAGCAAAAGATTTTTCAAGTGTGGATAACAGCTCATTGCTCCTTCCTTAAGTCAATAATATTCTCATTTGCTATAGATAAAATCTTCTCAAATTGAAGAAAGCTCCAGCCAAAACAAGTCAGAAAGAAACAAGGTCTACCATCTCAAAACAAAGTGATTATGGCATGGTCATTATCTGATATTATTGTTAGTAGTACGCTCTAAGACCAATCATATATAGATGATGTTTTAGGATTGTACTAGTAACATTCATTACTTAATTAAATAAAAATACAAGTTTATTTATCATATTTCTACTTTATTTCATTTTAATATACATAATATAGTCTATAGAGTATAAGTTAAGAAGATAGTTTCTCAAAGTGTTGAGAAGAGGAGACTTATACTTCTTAGTACTTAACTCTTAAATATTTCTAGTCATTGGACTACTATTGGGCCATTAAGTAATCCAGATAGACTAGCACACATTATGTTTACTCATATTTGATATGAAGTGACTCGTCCAAGTCACTAGTGTTGGAACACTGAAGCAAGTGTGTGGATGCTTGTTAGAGAACAAGTACATTGAACATGATCATTGACAAACGTAGGATTTTTCATATGGAGTTTTAAATGCCTGTCAATGTTAAATCCTAAAATTATAATTATGCAACTGATCCTTAGACTTGAGACATCATGGTTGTCTTGTGCATGAACTTTTATGATTTAATTATACAACATATTCATATACTAACCATGTAACTTGGATATGTATTGTTGGACATAGTTATGCATGCATGAAGACTTATGAGTGTACAAAATAAAATCTATCATCCGTAGTAATTAAAGAGAGAATGTCCTATGTGATATTCTAGGATATGACTCAAAGAGTCCTTGGCCAAGGCAGAATGACAATTAAAAAAGAGTTTCTAATTGATCATTAAGAGTTATAATTCTAAGATCGAACACATAAGATTGAATTAGGGGTTTGATAGTAATTTCATACCCTAGTAATTTAATTAGAGCATTGTATGATAGAATGATTGAATTGTATTGCAACTATAGACTGAATGGGTTCTTTACCTACTTCGTGTTATCCGGAGGTTGATCCTGATATGCTGCTAGGTGTCACTCATGATTAGTAGAAGGCTGAATAATGAAATTAATATAAATATAATAATTATTCTTCATAAAAGGAGAATTAGAAGAGTTCTAATTCAAGCTAAATTAGAAAGAGTTTTAATTTGAGATGCTACTTGTAGTTAGTATCGAATGCCTACAACTGGATATGCTTGAACCTATAGGGTCATAGAATTGATTGGAAACTAAAGGATAAAAGAGAGACAACCAATTAAAAGTTAATTGGGGTGAAAACCTAATTAAGAGTTAATTAGAGACTTTATTACAATTAATGTTATTAAAGGGGTTATATGTAATTATGAGATAATTGCAACTTAACCCAAACTAGGATTAGAGCCTTTAAAGCTCTATAAATACTTTTATGTAGGAAGTGGATTAAAAAAAACATATAGAAATAACAACTCTATTGCTAGCACAAGAAGGACCACTCACCATTCTCTCTCTCTACTAGTTTTTATCAATGGTTGAAGTAGATTCTTCAAGTTTGTCAATTCGTGTGGATACCGATAAATGCCAACATTTGCGAGGCTTGGGGTAAAGATCAAATTCAGATTTAAAAATTTAAAGCTTTTAAGAATATTTAAAGATTGTTAAAAGACACGCTTCAAGAGTAATAACCCTTAATCTTCTCTATAAAATTTAAAGTTTTTCGGTTTTGTATTAACATGCTTAGATCTTGGTATGAGAAATTAAATTATTATTTTT